GATCGAACATACCATCCACTTTTTGACAGTTTCCACCTAATTAATAGATTTTTTTCAACTGGTTGAATCGCATTGGTGTAAAATTTGCATCAGACCAATCGAACCAGTTGAAAAGTTCTGAACAAATTACAAATCTGATTTGGTCCCTAGTTTTATTATCGGAAAGTATATAAAACGAATTCGGAATAAAGTTCATTGTAATGTAGACATACCAGAAAAGACAACCGTAATAATTTTTAGATATTCAAAACGAAATTTTATCTCTAATATTTATTTTATTATCCGAAAAAAAGTTTATGAACTCGCCGACTTTGACTGGTCTGGAAATATTTATTGACTGACTAGATCGAATCGGTCTAGTATTTCTTGACCAGTTACAACTCTGTTGTATTCTTAGCCGATTATGTTCGGATTTGAAAAACAATAAATAAAAAAGATTCTATATGCAATGAAATGTGGTCAGTTCATTCAAATGTCAATTTTTGAATCTTCGTTCTTGTAGATATACTTTTTATCCTTTGTTGATTATTTTCCTTTTTTTTTCTTTTATTTCCTATGCCTATCCTATAGAATTAAACTAACAATCGATCATTTTCAACTATTCTTTATTCTCATATGTTCGTTATAATGCAAAATTTCATATTGTCTTTTAGTATGAATTGAAAAATTGATATTCTTTAAAGGATTTATCCAGTTAATGAACAATGATGAAAAGGGTAAAGTAATAGAGTCTATCCATCCTCAGTCTCATCTTCAATTATTATTAGTATTCAATTATTGATTTTGATAATTATATATCATTTTCATTAAATAGATGATTATCACCCTTTTGTTTTGTTCTTGTTGAAAACGGTCAAAAATTCATTTTTATTTGCAAAATAAGAAAAGTTTTAAAAAACTAATTATATATTTTAATGCTCTCGTTGAATATTTTCTTGATTTTCCGAATCTTTTTGACGAAGAATGTCTAACAGAGAAAAATAAAAAAACTCAATAAGAATATTTATCTTTAAAATATGTAAGAATTCGCTTATCTCTTTGTTCCTTGAGTGCAGATATGAGCTCTACAAAGAATTATTTTTTTGTTCTAATTCTTCTTGAAAAGACGACTGTTGATCTTCCTCATTTTATGGACGATCATTTGTCAAAGTTTCTATATCAAATCTAATTCTTCTTCTTCTTTTTCTTCGACGTCGTTTTAATCATGCACGTCTTTGTTTTAACTAAAATAGAATAGTTTATTAAAAATTGACATCATTTTCACTAATGATTGACCAATTAAAAACCTAAACAAAAAGCTGTGACTACAATCTCAGTAGATTAAAATTTGAAAGACGGTGAAACTCTGTATATTGTAAATAAGATGATACTGTAACGTATGTTTTGCTTTGTAAATTTCTATCTAGAGTGCGTGAATGTCTTTAATGATATATATTAGAGTGAAGTCGAAATGTTGAACAAAGGCAGGTATTTTAAGTTCAATAGTCTTTTATAATAGTCCTGGAAGAGACTTCGATTTCGTAGCTATGTTTATCATGGCTTATGTTTGTCAAGAGGCGAAAGAAGAAAAATAAAGACGGATAAAGTTGACTTATTTTGAAATTGTATCGGAATCGAAATAATATATCGGTCGAGATGGAAACCAAACTTCTACTCTATAGACTTCAACATTTGTTTTAGATGTCGTTAAAAAAAAGGAATATCTTATAATTACATGACGTTGTGTCTACGAAAGAGGAAATAGATATATTGCACAGTATATATATCATTCGATAAAATAGTTAAACAAAAAAAAGATCATCCTATATGAATAGTTCCCAGGACATGTTCACATTTTAGACCATCATATTTAGAAAACCTTTGAATTCCATCGTCATCTTTCAAAAGACTTTTTTCGGTATCCCTAGAAAAATGACTTGAAAATGATCTGGCACTACGTCCAATGAGCTTGAGAACACATTTTATCACTATGATCCTCCTTCTCCATGAAAAAAATCCTAGATCAGCCACCGGTTGATTTCATTCTATCGTGATCCTTTCTCCTCTATAATGTCATAAATAGTTGAACTTTTTTTAAATATCATATATAGTGAAAAGTTATTTCTTAAAGGAGTTTTGAATTGGTGAATTACGAAGAATATTATGATAAAGTTTCTCAAATTATTCTAGATGAAATTTAGAGAAGATATTTTTATTGAGATTGATTTTAATTGATGACTATAAGATAAATAATTTTCTGTATATTTTATGCCACAATTAGTTTTAATTGTTGCATTATAATCAGCAGCAAGCTCCTTTATGAATACTATTCTTTTATCATATCCGATTTATAAAAGAATTCAATAGTCATTAATGTCTATAAAAAATCGAAAGAAAAATATTTCTCAACTACTATTTAAGTCATATAATAAGACATAAAGATGTCAAATTTTGTTGACATATCGATAAAGGAAAGAAAAAAAAGCCTAGATTTATTGAGTGCATACTTTTGAATAGTTTTAATAAACAGTCACAACGCATAATAGCCTACACTCTCTAATACGAAAGCATAAAATCTAACGTTAATAAAATATAATTTTGTACAAAGTCAAATATGAACTCTGTAAAACAAAAAAAAACCAGTCATATTAATTGAGAATTTTTGAAAAAGAAATATATGTTACAAATAAATATGATAATGAACGAGAAAATATTAGTATACTACAATCAGTTTCTATCAATCTTATTGTCGGAACTATCAATAATATCTGTAGAAACACTGATGTTCTTTAATTAAGAAAGCATTGTTCATTTCGCTAATTCTTCATTTTTTTCGAAAGTACATATATATGAAAATCATCAACATAAATAATTCTATGGAGATCAGTACATATCTCTTTGCTCATTCATTGCTTTTTCTACTGATAACGGTAAAACTCTCGACGTATTAAAAGATCCAGAGTCTTCTATTTGTTATGGCGCGTATGATGTGCTCTAAGATAAATCTTATACGTGTTGTTTTGTTTTTCTGTTTTTCTGTTCGTTTTCTTTCTTTCATTCCATACATAGACAGGGTGATCCAAAAGTCTTGGTACCACTCAGAAAAATTCTTCGTTCTCCCTTATAGTAAACTCCAAAATTGTCAAATTTTAGTATCTTATTTTTTGTAACATGGCGAATATTATCCGACATTTTCATCTCTCTATCCTGACAAATAAGGGAGATGTATAGACTAACATTCTTGAAATTTTATTTTCTCGATGTCGCAAAAATAATGGTTGATACATAATACATGTAAACGGACTGTCTTTACATTTCATTTTTCTACCACTTGATACGTTCTATTAAGAAAACAAAATACATTACGAGATGCAGCGTGAAAAGCTCTACAATCTACAGAATACAGTGTGTTTTAATTATATAGTTTTTGGTTTGATAAAAAAAGCAAAACTCTGTACAATTAACTTAAAAATTGATCGCACAAATTTTTGCTTTACTCATTATTCCACTTAAATTTGCTGATTTACCCTTTTTTTAGCGTAATATATTCAAATATTTGAAAGTTGAACAGAACAATACAAAAAAGCGAACGAGCTCACTTCTTAATGGAGAGTAATGAATTTCTCTTATATAGACATTGGCTTTTGTGATAGCAATAAGTTTAAAAACACTATAGCCCAATTGATCTTTAATTGCTGATGGCTGCCCACTCCTGAATTGATTTAGCTGGAAAACAGCCCATGACATAAAAACTTCTGGCTACATCACACTATAGTTCTATGGTGGATACTTTTGAAAAGTCCCAACGGTGTCTAGGACAAGTAAAATTGATTATATTTTAACAACTGATAATTTTCCGAGAATAAAAATGCACAAAAAGAAAAGTAACTATCAGCAGTAACTAATTATTTTATTCACTAATGCATTCAGATATTTAGAAAACGTCTCTATTCCTTGTAAAAAAAAAACTTTACTTTGTGCTGATGGATATGGGTGTGAAATTTCACTTCGCCCATCCTAACTCCACATCCACATTCTGTCGATTTAGTTTTAGTAATACACAAAAATGTGAAATTTTCTTGAAAGCTGTTTCAAAGTCGAGATAAAAAGTAAGAACAAGTCGGTATGAAGAAATAACAGTACGATGAGCTTCAGTAAGAATAAGAACATGCCTAGCAAGACATCATGTAGGCTGAAAGCCAGATTTTTCATTCGGAATGACAGCTGAATCCTGCATCCAATGCTTGAACTTGCAACTTATAATTGGCTCAAATAGTTTTCTACTTACACACGCAACAATGAGATATGTCTGATTTCATTAATTGTGAGAAAAGAAGACTTTTCAAAAAATGAAGGGTGTGGGTGTGGGTGTAGGTGTGGGTGGATGTTAGTGTGGGTGTGGGTGGCTATTGGGTGTGTGTGTGTGGGTGTGGGATGTGGGTGTCGGTGTGCGGGTGTGGGGGTGTGGGGGTGTGGGGGTGTGGGGGTGTGGGTGGGAATGTCTGCCTCCTCTTCAGTATCCCTCACACCTACACCCACACCCATATCCCACATCCTCAAGATTTCATTGATTTAGCTATTGAACAGTATTGTTCAATGAGTATGGAACCTACTTGACTTAAAAAAAGAAGTTGTTGGTTTTGTTGTTAATCGTCTTCAATGTGGTATTCTTTCATTATCTCTTCAACTAGTTCAAGATGAAATTGTTGAACCTGACGATATTAATCGAGCAATCATACATGAATTAGCATGTCGATGGTCATTTATGGAGCCGTTTCAAGCAATTGATCTTAATGCACTAAAAGAAGTTATTGATTGTAAAGTATTCATTTTGTAGTTTCGAAAAAAGACACTGATTTATTTTTCTTTTTCAATAAATAGTTTTAATCGATATGGTTCATCAATACAACATGTTCTAATTGACATGAATTTTCCAACTGATTGGACACAAGAAAATGTCGAAAAAAGTAATAATTATTTTCATTCAAAATATCCAATTGGTGAAAATGGAAGTGGCTTAAATGATAAAAAAACCATGGCGTGATCAATATTTATTAGATTTAGCTAAACATAAACAAACATATGCTGATAGAGATTATCGTATTGTACATTATCCATTATCTATGCCAACAAATAAAGGACAAGCAATGATTCAAGCAATAGAAAATGAATTAAAACAAATTAATAAACAGATTAAAATAAGATTAGTACCACATAATGAAGCAAATATAATTGATTTTTTTGCTGAACCTGGAAATTTAGCTGCAACAAATCTCGGAACAAATGAAATTTTTTGTCAATTAGGTAAATTGTAAGCTTCATATGTATAGAACGAAAGGGACAAGCAGTGTCACTGATGTTATGTGACAGAACGATGAAAAAGATGACCTTCGTGGGAATCGAACCCACACCTCCTGCTATCCGGGCAGTTGTCCTAAGCCAATTGGACTAGAAGGCGCATCTTAATCATCGTTTAGCGTTAGTGTGATCCATCACTGACGCTAACATATATTTACACATTGAAATATATATATTAATCTTATGATGAATAGGTGGTGCAAAAAATGTTAAATTTAAACAAGATCATTGAATACATTTTGATATTTCAAATGTATTTAATCAATTACATATTAAAAATGAACAAACACTTGTTATTGGATTTGGTGCTGCTGATCAAACTCATCTTTCTTTAAACGGTGAACTTGTATTCAATATAACTCTTGATCAATATAATAAAATTATTACTCAACATTCATACAGTTCAATTGTAACAAAAGAAGATGAACCATATCAAAATTTCTATCAACCAAAAACATGCGGTCAATTTCAACATATATTGATATCATCAACTAATTGTGCAAAATCAACAATTTTATTTGAAATCGATGTAAAAAAACGTTTAACTGATGAATGTAAAGAAGAAAATAATTTTATTTCAGTTATACGATATAGTTTAAAACAATATTCGAAAGAACCAATGGTACTTGAAGGAATATTTCGTATTGAAAAAGGTATAATTAAAGTTCATGTTATGCCCGATTTTTTGAATGAAGATTTAATAACCGGTTGTCTACAGAGTAGTCTAGAAAAAACTTATCCCCTTGAAAAATGTAATTCCTAAGCTCATAACACGCTTTTTTGGAATTAATTCCTTCTGCAATAGATAAAACTAGAAAAAAAGCTACTAAATAAAATTGTCTTTCTTTCGAAAACATTCTACTATTAGTTAGAAGAAAAACGAAATTCAAAAACATATGAAATGTATTTCGAAACGAGATCATTTTCTCTATTTGTTGATCTTATGTAAAAATTCAATAATTCAATAACAAAACAGAATGATAATCTAAAATTATCAGGCTATATTTCTAGACATCGACAGATTAAGTAGACATAAATGATTAAGAATAATTGTCAGTTGGCTAAGATTATTAAAATATCTGTAGAATAGCAGGATTGCATATTTTTTCATGAAGCGGTGTTTCGTACTAATTCAATTCTTTTGTCACTGGAACTAGTTTTTATTATGACCAATTATATGTCATAGATGAAATGTTTCAATGATTATAACTATATCTATAAAATATTGATAAATTTTAGTTGTATAATCCAAAGTAAGATATGATGTAATAGAGGAGCATTGAATAGCAATGAGTATTAAAATTATATCATCGTATGAAAATGAAAAAAAATTTGTATAAAACAATCCTTTTGAAGTTGAAATGTTTTCCATAGTTAGTATACTACTTATTCTATAGCTACATCAAAGTTGAAGTTAGCAATAGGTTTTAGTGAAAGATCTTTTATTTGCTTTCGGTGAGAATATACCGTCCCAGCATAGATTTCATATTTAGTGAATTTATTGTATGTCTCTAGTTATGCTGGACTGTTTTTAAGATAAAAATATTTCTATCTAGTAGGTTTTTTCTACCTATATCTATTGCAGAAAGAATTTGACTAAAAACTGAATTCTAACAGAACAGAAAGAATATTATACTAATAGGTAAGTTTTGTTTTTGGACTACCCTGTAATAGTATTTCATGTGTATTTTTCAATGATTTGCACTTCATACAGTGATAGAAATGATTTTTTTTGTAATTTTATTTCTTTTCAAAGATAATTATTAGCTTGTGACTCAATCTACATTCGTTTGAATCAACCTTATGCAAAAAGTACATCAATAACATATCAAATATTATGTCTTTTAATATGCTGAGAGACAGGATAAATGATGTGTATTTACGTAAAATCTACTTCTCTCTTTCTTCCTTGGATACATACAAGAAAATGAATGTAACGATGAACATTCGGCAAGGAGGTGGCGACCTCTTGTTGTGCTGAGCCCCATGTCGATAGGACACGCTACCGATACATGTGTCGACACAATGACACGATGGACGTACATGTAACGACACGTGTCGACACAGTGATTTTTATGTACGACGTGTGTCGACACATTGTCCGTAGCGTGTCTGTTCTCTATGGACGATACATAAGAGTATAATATGGACGAAAGAGAGGAAAGAAAAAAAATAGCTGTCTTTTCGCCTATATAAGATTCAAACGTTCTCGTCTAAACTCACAATTAATCAATTTTTTTAAATTAAAATAATTTTTATTTTGTAGATGTTATGTAATCGTTTTTTAACATACTCAACGTTTTTTACTTAGTTCATTAATAAAATTCAGGTCATTTTTTTAGAAACTTGAATGAAATTTTTTTTTTTATAAATTCATATAAAATTTGATTGGAAAATATATCTTCTACAAAAAACGCAATTGTGCACGAATTTTACATTTTTATTTATTTTTTTTGAACGTCTACTTTATTTATTTTTGCTTAATTCTGTTTCATATATTTTAGTTTTATTTCTTCCAATATCATTGTTTTTTTTTTAATTTTAGGCAGTTGTAGAAGCCACACAAATCTACAATGTCGAAAAATCGTCTAAATGAAGAAGAAAAAGTTGAAGAAAAAAATACATATAGTAAGTTCACTTGGAAAAAATTCAGCGAAGTTAATTTAAATTGATTCTCTTCTCCATATTGACGGCCGGCTGCGAGAAAGAGAAATATCTTATTCCATCTATCAGATAGAATTTTTCCTATTGAATATTTTTTTCTTCTAGAACGCATCTGTAACAAACACCGACAAGCTAAACGAAGAGAACGTCTTACAAATTTATTTGTTTCTAATGATCTTAGTTTTAATGATCCATCTATTATGTGCTTAGAAAGTGAGCTATTTCTCTGGTGGTTCCATTTTTTTAATTATTGTATTTTCATGAACAGATTTTGATGTTTCTGAATACGAAGAAAATATAGATCATGATACATTTAATTATTTATCTGATATGTGTATTCAAGGTGAGTTGCTGTTTTCTGACAGTTCGAGCTTTCTGTTTATTGCATTTCAATTTATAGATATTATTCCACCAGATGATGAAGACAATAATAATAATATTGATACAAATAATATCGATAATGGTAAGCTTTCTAAAAACCTGTTAACATCATTGGAATACGTAGTAAATATTTTGTTATATTAAAAAAAATTATTTTTTTCTCTAATTAGATTTTTATTTAATAGATATAGGTAATGATACTATAGATAATGAATTTGAAGATTTTAATGATGATAATAATTGGGAAAATAATCAAAGTGATGATGTAATTATTGATCCAATATTTGAATCAGTTAATAACGAAACAGAAATAGAATTAGAAATTGGGAAATATATCTGTCAATCTAATTTGGACAAAATAAATACCAATCGTTTACTTAATCTGTTAAATCAGGTGCATGATCGACAAACATCACCACCGTTATCAATTATTTCATTGTGGAACAAATTAAACGTAAAATTCAACTATACAACAATTAAATATTGTTCAAATTGCATGTTCGAATTAATTGAATGTTGCTGTAAGAATAATAGGAAATTCGTTTTGTCTGAATTGATCATGTTTTCAATTGCTGAAGAAATTACTCGAGTTGTAAAAAATAATTATTATATGATTTCAAAGTATAAATTAAAACAACATGGTAACGAAGATGATATTGTTCGAGGTATATTGGATTGCTGTTGTTTCCACTAAACCTTTTGCTCCCGTATGCCTGTCTATAGAGTTAAGAAGTGAATGGGAAAGTCGAAAAAAAAATGAGAGTTGATTTATTTTTGACAAAGAAAATAAGAATAGATTTGTTTTTGAAAAAGAAAACTCTTATTGCTTCTATTTTAAATAGACTTCTTTTTTAATGGAGAAATGAAAGAGTTGTAATACAACTGTTGACATAGATACTAGCTGAACTATAGCGAAACAGACTCATTTGCACCGTTCTCATGAGTCTAATTGAATTGAGAAAGAAACTCGGCAAATAAAAATAACAATTTGTATTTTGACTTTTCATGTCTATTTAGGAGAACTTTACAAGAAACAATCTGGTAAAAGTTCAAATCCGATTACATTATTATTATCTAGTGACGGGAAGCCCACAATAAAATCCAGTAGTTGTTCGATCTGGCCGGTAAATATTTCAATGTTATTTTGGTTGTATCTTTGTGATCTTGGCATTCTTTTTATATAGGTGCTAGCCAGTATCATTGAAATACCTCGACCATATCGTGATAATAAACAAAATATGATATTGTTATGCTTATGGCATTCTCCTCGTTCACCATCGGCTGAACAATTACTTGGACATATTACAACAGATCTTTCTCGTTTAATTACTACTGGTATTGATATTGAAATTAATAGTTTAGGTAAGAGTAATTTGCGAGGAAAAAGATTGTTTCTTCGAAAAGTTTCTCTATGCGTATGTTTAATAAAAGTCTATAGTGTATGATTCCGAATAAAAAACCATGTAACAGAGGGTATACAAGACACATCCTTTCGCAAATGATACGGTCGACAAGGCATTCGTCTGATTGCTAAAAACACATTATCTGTTTTCATTTATGTTTATTTAGGTTTTATCCATTTTGATGTTTTTGTTCAAGGTGTTTGTGCTGATGCACCTGGTCAGTCAAAAATTACGCAAATGGTAGCACATAATGGTTATTATGGGTGCCGAGTTTGTGAATATGAAGGAAGTTATAGTGCTGTTGATAACACTTGCATATATTCATGGTCTTCATTTGAACGTATACATCCATCATTTAGAACTCGGGACCGATTTGAATTGTGTTTACAAGAAGTTGAACATCTAAAAACTATGCATAAAAAGAATATTAATGTTCGTGGCATAAAAGGCATATCTCCATTGAATCATCTGATTTTTATACCAACGCAAGCAATCTATGATTATTTTCATTTATGTTTAGAAGTAAGTTAACTTCAGTGTTAAGTGGTTGTAGTGGATGAAATTCGTACTCAGGCAAAATAAGCTTGAGGTTTTAAAGATTGAAAGATAAAAAGAAACAAATAGATAATCACAAATAACTGACTCTATCTACTCATGTTAAGTTATGTTCAACTTTGATTGAAGTGTAGTTGGTTCAGAGTAATTATAGAGTTGGCCAGTATATTCAATTGAAATCTATGTGATTTTAGGAATTTATACAGTTTAACAATGTGTTCTATTGAAATCTAGTTGAGTTTTGAAAACTGAAAAATTCGAAATAATGGACGATACAAATTGTTTGAATATAAGTTAGTTTTAGTCTTTCAATGAAGTTATTGATATTTTTTTACTCTTCTGGTAGTGTATTGTCATGCATTTTTTTCTATGAACAATTTCGATTCCGATCTTTAGTAATACGTTCGTTTTATTCATTCAAAAGATCGATTAATAGATTTATGTAGACATGGTTTTTTCTTACAATTCAATATAAGTAAAACACTAACAATAAGAACAGAAATAAACACTAATACCTTGCAACAAGTGATGCATATAAGATAGCTCTGAAAACAGCTGATAGTAGATAATGAATCATATATTGGATTTAATAATGAATCAGTAGTATGCTTCAAACATGTTCCTATACATTGATTGAGTTTTCTTGTTGATAAAAAACACAAGGTGTACATTTCAGCTTTGGTCAATCGATCAAAAAACCTATTATGGTTACACTGGTAGATAACACTCATCCTACCAAAAAAACAAAAAAAGGAGGGTTGATGTTAAATAAGTGAAGATGAACATTTTACTGTTATATATGAGGTTTGTTTAAACAAATAACAACATTTTTTATATTGGCAGTGAGAGTTTGAATTCATAAAAATCTACGCTCTGTTGCGCCTAATTTAAACAAACTTTCTCTAAAGATTTTTTTTGCCTGTGACATAGATGTTCCATTTGAAATAGAGAAAATGTTTTCGAATGAGAAGTACGTCTATCGGAAGACTTGAGCTTTAACGTTTTAATAACGCCCTTCATCGACTATAATAAATAAATGAAGATCGTTTAAATAAACATGAACAAATTGAGTACAAGGAACAATCTTGCTTAAAAAAAGCTTCATTGACACAGTAAAGTTGATAAGGGAACAGAAAATAATCAATTATATAATCATTTCGTTCGTCTCTTACATTTTTCATATTAGGGTCACACGATAGTTTTACTTAAAGAATGGAATGATATGCATTATGGTTCAAGTGTCCAAACACGTGAAATAATTGATAAATTCGATGAATTTTTATCGAGTATTAATTATCCACATTCTATTAACCGTCGAGTTCGAAATCTTAGATCATTTAATGATTGGAAAGCCGCTCAACTCCGTATATTTCTTCTTTATTTGGCATTACCATTCTTATTATTTTTTCGTGATTATTTTCCTCCTTTACTTGTTTATCATTTTTCTTTATATTCCATTTATATACGTACGTTATGTAAATTTAATGAACAAAAACATGTGTATGATGTACGTCCATTCATCGAGATTCATCTTCGTCGGTTTACTGAGTTTTATAAAAACTCGAAAGAACTTCTATCTACACATTGTAACACCCATTTATGGCAACAGGTAATTCGGCACGGCTCTTTAAGTGCAACAAGGTATGATTTGCTCATGTACTTTTTTTTGATTAAAATACTTTATGAGTTTGTTTGACTCCATTACGAGTATTAAGTTGCTTGATAGAAGAATGATTAGTTTTCATTTTTAATTTATTCTATCTGTTGCCAGAAATCTAAAGCATGAAAATTACAATCATATTTGTAGGAAATTAGTTGAGATCGAACATTTTACAAGAATTTTTGACAGATTTTTGTTCATGTCCTTACTCAAAGCGCGTTGGCCTGAACTTTTGTGAGATCTTATTGAAGTATGAATGGTTACTTTCTATGCATCTATAGAATTTTTACACGTAGCAACTCTCATATTCTACCGTCGTATGCAGATAAATCAAAATTTATTTGAGTTAAGTTCTAAATTTTCATACACTGATTTGCTATCATCTTTTTTGCAGTATGTTTGGTTCAGAATCATGTTTACATGGGTTATATAAATTGGCTCATGGGACCAAACATATAGGACAACAAATTGCTTATTGGTACACAGTTCATCGTGCTATTCATTCTATGTCAATTGAAAAACAACTTGATATTAGCGATCATGGAAATTTTATGGATGGTTATATTGATGAACTTATTATTAAAAAATATAAACAACAATTTGATCATGCATTTTTTCTTAAGTTTTCTTGTTTATCGGATGAATCAGTTGTTTTTCGTTCTCGATATAAAATAGGATTAATTGTATATCATTCATTCTTGTACTCTTTTCGAAAACAATCATCGAGTTTCAATGTGTGTGTTAATAATTGTAATTGTTTGAAAAAAATATGTTTTGGTGAAATTGTTTTTTTCTTCTCATATCGAAACGAACTGTTTTTGTTTCTATCTTCTCATCCTTGCTCTTTGTCTCATACTTTTTCATCTGCAATTCAGGTGGATCAACATTTATCCATGTGGTCTGAACGTGTTAATAGTTTCTATTTTCTTGTTGATAAAGATATTGATAATTTCTTCATTTTTCCTTGTACAGCACTTCGTTCAAAATGCTTTTTCTTTCCTTTCCGTGATGATCGTTTTGTTGTTTGTACACCTATTGATAATGAACTTGAACATGATTGAAAGGAGAAGAGATATCCTCACTTGTTTCATTAACATCTTTTTCTTCTAGATAATCTTTCAGATATTTGTCTTCTTTCTTCAACGTGGTCAAATTATTCAATTCAAAGTAAGTTGTTAAAAGGCTTTTTTTATCTTCAGATCATTGAATCTTTTTCAGATATTTGTCTTCTTCATCATCGTCAAATCTTTTAATTCAAAGTAAATTGTTAATTTTTTTTTATCTTCAGATCATTGAATCTTTTTCAGATATTTGTCTTCTTCATCATCGTCAAATCTTTTAATTCAAAGTAAGTTGTTAATTTTTTTTTATCTTCAGATCATTGAATGTTTTTAGGAGCATGTCTACGATTTCGACGTACAGAAGCAATGCTTCGCAACGTATTGCTGCAACATCAAATTCTTCATCTCAACATCCACAATTATCTCAATATCATCATTCATCTGAAAATGAACATTCATTCCAACATCATAGTTCATCTCAACATCAACAATCATCTCAACATCAACAATCATCTCAACATCATCATTCATCTATGCATCCACCTTCAAGTGAAACGACTAATTATTTTGGACCTGTTCGTTCGTCTTCAACTCTTAGTAAGTATACTTTGTCTTCGATCCGAATTGAAAAATGTACAATGGCAATGAAGTTAAAATATTGCGAATCGTTTATAAGAGGTTATACACTTCTTCACCTTATAATCATGCAGCTTTTAGCAGATCTCATATGAAAGCTATATTATTTAGAAAATATACTAATGAAAGAATCTGTATACGTTGTTTTTATGATTAAAATCGATTTAATATTTGTAGATCGTTCACAAAGATTCACGTCATCCCATAATCAACATTGTGCATCACCATACACTGTCAATTCACCACGTATGAATCGTCGTGAAGGTAATATGTTTGTTTTATATTTTATAGATGCACAGAAATCTTTTTTGTTTATACATTGCAGCTACTATTTGTTACACTGATCTTGATACACAACCTAATCGTTGTGAAAATGAAAATATTGAACCTCCTCATGTTGTTTCTTTCAATCAACATACATTCGACAAACTTGTTCAACGATGTGATAGTTTAGAAAATCAGTTGCGAATCTTACAGGCAAAAACCGATAAATTGTTGAAACTTGCACTTGATGCTGCTAACAAGGACCAGGTATAATGTTTTATCTTAATATATCAATAAATTCTAGAGAATCGTTGTAGCACATTTACTTGAAAATGCCTTCTGTTATTTATTCACATTAAATTTTTTAAACATATTTTAGGAAATTACAACAACAAAACCTAAATCAGAGTTGATTCCAATTGTAAGTATTATTTCATTGTTTCAGTTTCTTTTTTTGTTTTATGTATACATTTTTATCGAAGTTATGGAAGAATGAAAATTTGCTGGCAAAGCCGCGAACAGCTTTACCAACAACTTATTTGTGTCACCTTGTTCGCAAAATGTATACGTCGAACGAAATCAAAAATAAGATACCACAACAGCCACCACAACATGGTGATATAAGACTACAGAAGATTAAAGGTATTCTTTTTTTGTATTATGACATAGAAATATTGAAAATGAATTCTTGTCGTGAACTGCTTAAATTTTGTGCGCTCGATAACCTAAATATCAAACTTTCACACATAACAGAAAGCAGATTCTATATGATTTTCAGAATTAACGATTGAATAACTGTCGAAAGTAATGAGTAATTTTTTTCCAATTAATAAGCGGGTCATAATAAATTGCACTAAAACCGAATCTATTTTTTCTCTTCTTGTTCGCAAAATATACTCGTTCATATACCAAAAGATAGAGAATTTCAAGCCCTACAAAACTATCGAATTTGTTTTTATAACAAAATTTTATTGTTGGCGCAACATGCAAAATGTTAACATCTGCTAAGCTGTCCAACTGCGACGAAAGAAAACAAGACAAATGACTAAAATTTTTTTGGTAATAGCTGTGAAGCTTTCGATGCAGCAAAACGTTGTGAAAAATGTGAAAACACTCCAAAAGTATCGTTGTTCACAAACTTTTGTCATTGTACCTTTTTATTCGAAATAATTTCAACGTGTTGATTGTTTAACCTAGAAATCACATGGTTTTGTTCAAAATTGAATTTTACGTTCGATAACTTCGGAAAAAAAAATTTCATCATTTACCTCAGACTTTGGGACATAATCTTTGCAAAATGCATCTAAGTTCACCACTAACTGTTAGCTCAAAATATTTTTCTCTTCAATAATAGCACTGATAATCTTCAAAAGGTCGTAAGAGCTTGGAGCACAAAATTCTCTGCTTTCATGTTAAAAGTACTTTAATTTCACCGTTGGACTTTATGAGTGCATGATTACACAAATCGACAATTGTCTGTAAGAAACAGAAGATTGCAGTTGGACGATTGAGTACCTATTCATCTATTACCTGTTGCGCCAACAAAAAAATTTATTAAAAATCAAAGTTGGCAGTTTTATCAAGTTTGAGATTCTGTATCTTTTGCTATATGAATGAGGACGTATTTGAGTAATAAGAAATGAGAGAAAAAATATGTTAACTTGTAGTGCTATTCATTATGGCCCATCCATTAGTTAATGATCGTAGGGAGCAAGAAAAAAAATTTTGCAACCTTTTAGCTGCTGCACAAAAAGAGTACAATGAGAGAGTTTTTATTTCTGATATGTATTTTTTATTTCATATGTTCATTTTTTCAAGAATGCCTCATTCAACTATATTTTTCACATGAACCATCACTCATTCATGATTTTATGGCAACAAAAGGTGCAGAAAGTTTGTATGGTCAAGAACGAACCAAGAAAAGCAGAGACAAGTAAGTTATCTTTTCATGTCAATACTTTTCAACGAAAATTTGTTACACAAAATTTCATTTGTTATATTTCAGATTGAAAGCGGTATTAGTCGTCGATGACAATAACAACAGAAACAATATGAATAATAATGAAAACAATATCATCAACAATCTCAATGATGTCAATATTAATTCGGTCATTGATTTATTTGATAATTAGCACAATGCAAATAATTAATATATTATAGGTAGCAATATTTTTCTCTCTTGAGTTTTGCATTTATCCATATGAAATAATTCTTGTCCTTCCTTTCTTGCTCATCTCTATATTCATGGTATTTTCTTTTACTTTTTTTTGTGAAATTTAATTTTACTTTTTCTTTTATTATGAAATTTATTTTTTTTATTTTGTAAAAACAACTTTTTTGTACAGTATAGACGTGAACATAGCAGGAAAAGTTTTTTATATAATTTTTCTATGCGTTTATTTTTTTTTTGTTTTGTAAAGTACTAATGTTGTTATTGGTTCGAAACTAGTAAAAGAATAAAAGGGTGCGACAGATAGCGCCATAATTCAACACGAAATAATTCCGTTCATGATCTAGTGACTAAAAATTCAACCAATGATAATGCAGAAAAATAAGACAGTGACACCTCATGACACACATTGCGTACATGTGTCGACACACCATGACACACGTTACGTACATGTGTCGACACACCATGACACAGTGTCAAAACGTGACTGATCTTTTTGTGTCACACAACTTGTGTCGACACATGTGTCGGTAGCGTGTCCTATCGACATGGGGCATATTTATTGTCAATTCATTGGACCACAGAAAAACCCATTCTTACTCTAAGTAAATACTCATCTAATCGCAACTCTTATGATTGAATAAATAGAAAAACCTTGTGTTTTCTATACTGTCAAAAATGGTATAATTAGAATTTCATAGATACTTTGTTTTCTGTGGAAGATATTCTATATCGTCTACTATATTATAATTACCTTGTCTTATCCGTTTAGATAATTTTTTTCTATTTTTATAAAAATTAATATTTGTTGCTTGTTCTTGTTATTACATATTATGTCGTCTCGTCGTGCTAGTCTTGATAATCCACAAGCAACAATTCGTGCATTAGAAAGTGATGTCCATCGTCTACAGCAACTAAATAATAGTTATAAAACATTAATAGATAACCGAAAAGTGACAGAAGATGATTATATACTTCTCAAAAAAGAAAAAAAAAAAAGAATATCAAAGATTGGTACGAGCAAGGAATGGTCGATATTGGTTTCTCTGCATAACACTTTTACTCTTATTTGTCTTTGAGAGAAATATGCAACGTATAGAAAAAAATGAAACATGGTTATTAAATATTTCATATGGACAAATCTTACACATGATTAAATTGCAAACCAAAAAACTTATTCAAGCACCGCAAACGATATGTGTTTTTATTATATCATTTCTCAACTTTTTATCTTTAATATATTGTCAAATCAATTATCCCTGTCCAAAGTTATTGTTTATAAGTTTATTCATTCAGGCTGTCTTAGGTCCATTATCAATAATATTACCTGAATTTTCCATTTTCGTGATCTTTCTCATCACAGATTGGATAGTTCCTGTGGCTTTATATATGGTAGCCAAGGAACAAGTGAGTGTTATAAGATATAATAGAGTATTTTTTTTTTTACTCACTAATTTAGATTAACAAATATGAAGACAATAGTAATATGCAATAAGTATATGTCAGTTAGACACAGTTCATTGTCGTATCATGAACTTAAAATATTTTGTTAGATTTTTTTTTTGTTTTTTTTTTTACAAATTTTTTTTCTAGCAGCTGTTTTTGTCTTTCAGTTGAAAAGTCAGACGCTTTGAATACATGACACTTGTTGAGTATCGTTTTGTGAAATATGATCTAATTAGTGATCAACTAATGAATACTAATCTTACTATTATCCGATCGAAAATAAAAGGCAGATCACCATTTTTCGAATAACTTTCGATAGGGATGAGATAAAGAGCTGCGGTTTTCACAATTCGAAAGAGCGATGTTCGGGCCATCGATCGATACAGAACTCATTGAGACGAAAGATGCTTTTTGTATAAGTATCTTCGGATCAAAACTTTTTCCTTTGTGTATTGTCATTAATTTTCACCATAATCTCGACTCAAATTATGTCAAAGTATAGCGTAAATCACCTTTTTCCGCTTTAAAATTAACATTCATTTTTTTTAAATCCGCTTACAATAAGAGACTGACAAATAATGCAATATGTGATAATTTTATAGCCAAAAAAGAGTGATTTGAGCTACATTTTGACATAATTTGAGTTGAGATTATGGTGAAAATTAATGACAAAACACAAAGGAAAAAGTTTTGATTCAAAGATGTCTATAAAAAAAAGCATCTTTTGTCTTAATGAATTCTATGTCAATTGATGACCGGACATCGCTCTTTCGAATGGTGAAAACTGCAGTTCTCTATCTCGTTCCTATCACAAGTTATTCGAAAAATAGTAACCTGCCTTTTATTTTCGATCGGATAATGGTAGTCACTTAATTATTGCTCATCTAACTAGTGGTCACTTGATTATTGCTTATCTACATAGAACTTGTCTGGTTAGAACTCAAGTGGTGAACACTCATCTAATTAATAGTCACCTAATTACTGCGCAACTAATGAATTCCCATCTAAGAAGTACTCAATCCATGGGTAGCTAGTTAATTGTTGCTCATTTATTATGACTCAATTGATGAACATTCATCTATTTAGTCTAGGACTCACTAGGTGAGTACTAATTACATAAGCTCTCGTCAAGTGAGTTCTTATTAATTAAATACTGATTGGATAGTTATTTATTTACTGTTTAATAGTTACGTAATGGCTTCCATCTTAGGTCATACACACTGTAAAAAAATGCCAAGCGTCTTACAAGGCGGTGTATCCATCTATAGTTTAGTTTAGATACGATTTAGGGGTGAGATCCGTTTTATTTTTTAGATACTTAGACCTAATAGAAACTAGCACGCCGTTTTCTTAAACACTTGAATCGAATAAACATTGATGCGTCTTGATCTCACCTATAGCGGTACATATATTTCGGCTTGTCCACGTAACATTAACGGCAGAGTGTAACAGCGTTACGTTTTTGCTCATTTTGTTTTGATCATAACTTTGAAAGGATAAGTCTTAGAGAGGCGAGCGGCGTCTTAGATTGAAGAGAAATTTGTTTTGAAGATTTTGAAATCTGTCCAAGCTCATAAAAATATGTTTCCGAAAATCTATAACCAAAATACTGGCACACCCTTTTTCGATGGATTTTGCCAAAGTAGGTGTTAGCATTTCAATGACAGGTTTTCAAGGAAACACTTTTATGAGCTCTAGCAGATCTCAAAATCTTCAAAACAAATTTCTCTTCAATTTAAGATGTCGCTCGCCTCTCTACGACTTGTCCTTTCAAAGTTATGGTCAAAACAAAATGAGCAAAAACGTAACGCTGTTACGGAGTTACGTGGACAAGCCGATTGACTTATTCATAATTTAATCAAATTATTGTTAGTTTTGTGAAAAATATGATCAAACAAGAACATTTCACATAATACACAATATCAGATGTTGTATTTAAATAAATGTGTTTAATTACAATACTCTTAAAAATGATACGAAAGCTTAGCGTTACTATATCTTCGACTATCATTATCGAAAAAGCTACTATCAAAATCTGTAAATCCCAAAAAACGATAAAATTTTTATAATAGGCAGCATGAGAAATAAAGTACAATTGTTTATTGCTCATAAAGTTAGACGAACGCAAAGCAATAGAACAAAAATTGTCAGCACTTTCTTTCGTTACAATATTGGTGTTACATAAATGACTAGTCAGTTAGACCGATCAATTTTTCGTGTTTTTATTTGTATTCTTCTTTCCTTCTATGCATTATGCTATCATTCAGTTTCGTATGTCGCATATCTGTTGAATACACTATTTTTCTTTAAGCTACCACCTAAAAAAAGTCACTTTTCGTCAGAATGGTCAAAATTAAGATAAATGTATGGAAAGATAGACCGTCATTTGATCTTTCATAAACGACAAAAATTTTTACTCGACACCTCGTTTTCTCCGAAAATTTTTGAAGATTTCTTTCGACCCCTATTCGAAAAATAAGCTGCTTTCAGAAAAAAAACAGAAAATCTCTTTCGTTTTTTCTCAGTTTATAGCTTCTTGAGCGCGCAAATCAAATTTCTCTGCCGATACTTATTTAATATATTTATTTATTTTTTTTTGTTTGAAAGAGTGCGTCCAGACGCAGTGCAGTACAGAGCGCTTTTTTTTAAATTAAGCATTTTTTGTATTATATATACGGACACCTATATAACTCGACACACGTTTTTTAAGAGTTTCTTGAGTCATTGAACTTTCAATCCCTTTTTTTCTTTTAAAAAGTAAGTATTTTAAAAAAAAGGGCTCTGGTAGGCCCTGAATCCTGACATGCTCTTTCAAACAAAAAAAAATCAAATCTCTACAATACACCTGGACAGAGAAATTTGGTTTGCCAAATGAGCTATTTTTGACCCTTGTTTGGCCAATATCTTCCTCAAACGTCATAACATCGGACTGAAAATGTTTACCATAGCTTCTCCACTACAGTCCCAACATATCCTGAAAATTTCAGGCCATTTGAATGTTCCTGGACTGAGATCAATTTTTGAGGGGCCTTAACACACTCCCGACGAAACTAATTTTTCTTATCTAATATTTCACTTTATTGGTCTTCATTCAATATAATTTTATTATTTTTAATTATTAGTAGAAGTCTATATATGAGTGATAGGATTATTATTCTGAACTAATACCGTTCTGATGATAGTCGATAAGACGGAAAATTCAACAAATAAAATAAAATAAATGTGGAAACCTCGGATTTAAATCCAAGAGTTATATGTACTTCAAAAAGTGAATGAAACAGATTAGTCATCCTAGAATGTGTGGACATCAAAATTGTCCTGGCAAACCTGTTCTATAAACACTTGATTTCTATTGGCTACTGCTCAACCAATAGGATTTGGAGGCAAATACAGCTCAGATTTGAACTCTTCACCTTGATTTACCCTAAAAAACTCGTTTTTTCCTATAACTTGATTTCTATTGGTTACTGCTCAACCAATGAAATTTCGAGGCGAACGAAGCACAGATTCGAGTTT